TTTTATTCCAGGTGTTAATATCCAATTGTATCGGAGGAAGATTTGGTTCTGTTGAAATTGCTCTTGATCTGCAAACAAAAGAAATTGTATTCAGGATAGAATCAAGAATGGGAAGCATCACTGAGCAAGCAGAGGTTCGACAACCCTTCACAGTAAGTTATTTAACTGACATGCAATTTGGTTAATCACAATATTAATTTGAAGATCCTGTATGTTGTGATCAAAGTGGTAGACCACAAAAAGTGAAATAATATATGTGTACATAATTCTTCAAATAAAATAATTTTTTAACATCGGTAAATATGTAAAATATGTACTGTAAATATTTGTGCTTATAATATGTAAAATATTTGTGCTTATTATATGTAATCATTAAAATATATGCATTCACTTTTTACTGTAAAAATTGACTTAAACTTTATAGACAATTTTTCTATAACCGCCCTTTATTTACATAAAATGATAAATTCGGTAATATCTTTATAAATAATGCTTTTTGGAACCTACAATATTGATTAATGTTAATTTGGGTATCATATTTATAATTTAAATATTAAAAATTGTGTTACAGGATCTTTAATCACCTTTAAAGTCTATATATAGTATATACCCTGTTTAAGTGTTTGAATTTTAGTGTTTGAATTTTAGTGTTTGAATTTTTTTTATTTAATAGGATTGCAGTATTTCAAATATAACTCGTTACACATTTACTTTGATAAATCGACAAGCTTTTAATCAATCTAATAAATCGACTGTTTATAAGAAATAATTTAAACACTTGAAACTGGTACGTATTTACAAAATTGAATTGGTGCCTGACCAATTTAATTTTGTAAATACGTACTAAAAAACTTTAAACTTAACATGGAACGGGTTATTACTACTTTTTAATCGACTTCATGCACTAACCAGTTCTGTTTTCATATAATTAACCTCTGTATGGTTTATACTTTCGACTCCTGTGTTTGGAGACGATCACCTTAACCACAAGGCTTCTGATCTCCTCATTGTTTATATGAAATTCTGTATATTCAGTTTCAACTATCAGTTCTGTATGAAATAACTACTTGAACTCCATGTTTAATCATTCCTCCTTAAAAGACAGACAGACAGACAGACAGACAGACAGACAGAAAACTTTCTTTTCAGTCAAGGTATAATACATACATGAGGATATATGCAAATAACACGAAGTTAAGCATAAATTAAAGTTTATTAGTACGTATTTATAACAAATTTATATTGGTCAGGCATGGCGCAGCCGCACGACCAATTTAATTTTGTACAAACGTACTTAAAGTTTTTAATCAACTTCATGTTTTTGAATATTTTTTATAAAAAATAGATTTACTTGACTGATTAACACTAAGTGGTTGTTCTTAATTTTTGTTGTTGTAAGTACTTTTTGCCATTGAGATTTCAAAAACCTATTTGCGGTAAATCACAATGTGTCAGAAAGTAACTTTTAATGTCTAATTGTATTGCGTTTTAAAAGTTTTGACGGATATGGGAAAAGCCTGATTGATTTTATGTTTTATTTATAGGAAGGTGTGTGGACAAATGTAAAATTGATGTATGACGGTAGCACTGTGACAGCTCAAGTTGATGGAAGCTCAAAAACTGCTCCACTTCAAGGTGGGTTTTCTTCTTCTTCTTCTTCTTCTTCGTCTTCTTCTTCGTCTTCTTCTTCGTCTTCTTCTATTTTGTCAACCAATATAAAAAAGTGGTAAACCAATTGGTGTTTTTTTTCTATTTGTTTCATATTAAATATATAAAATCTTTAAAAGCAAAATATACAGCTTACGTTATTTGAATAGTGACAGCTTATAAGCAGTTTTACGAACATCTTTTATACACACACACGTTTGTTAAATTTACGAACACCATCTTCTCTAATTGCTAAAGCTAGCAAAAACTCAAGATCAGCGTCTACAAAAATTGATACATCTGCACTCATTTCACGATATGAAGAACATGCATGCGGTTAATACTTTTAATTTGTTACAGGCAATATCAACACTCGATACAACGGCATAATGATTGGCAGCTGTCATGGGCGTGGTTTTGTTGGATATATTGATGACGTAAGGATTAAGTTATTTTAGAAGTCAAATATTTTAAAATTCCGCCTTGTTATTTTCAATGCTTAATTCTTCGCAAAAATAAACAATAACTCAAGACACCTAATGAAAATTTGCAATCATTTAATTAGTGGGATGCATTATAATTTTGATATTCTTATCTTATTTTTTTATCAAACTTTTCCAATTTAATTTTTTAAGTTACGTATATATTTCTAACTTAGAGAAATTATTCAAATCGCATGCATTCTTTGCTTAAGCAAATAAGTTGTGATAATTGATGCACTTCTTTTACATTTTTAGGTACATTTATACCGATGTTTGCTGAAGTAAATAAACATATCTGCATAAAAACAGGATGTAATTCATTTGACTGAGAATTTTTTAAAGTAGAATAACTGACTATGACAATGTTAGCCGCATTCGTTGATTCGAAATATGGAAATTTTGAATTCAGCTATTTTCACATGTTATCTGAAATCGGTTGCCTCGTTCCTATTTGGTGTCTCTACAGATGTACTGTACTACGACTGCGGAATAAACTCACTCATATTGAAATTTTTTTTTCCTTTAAATTTGTATAAAAATTTATATTTTTTACTGAAAAAAAATAAAATGAATTTAAAAAAAAAAAAAACAAATTTTTAGAAAAAGCTGTTTTTATTTCATGTACAAGGGGATATGTATTTTTTTAATTTCTTGTAAATTTTTTTTGTTTTTCCAATTTTATATTGGGGTTTTTTATAATGAAAAATTTAGATAAAATTAGGCCCAAAAATATCCCAAAAATTTTAAAAACGGGAAAAAATTTTAATACATAGGGTACTTGATATTAAAATACGGGAGATATTTTTGAAAATTACTTTCAACTTTTTGGGGGCGTTAAAAACCAAAATTGTAAACAAAAGCATAGGGGTGAAAGGAAAAAAATTTTAAAAACCGGCTTTATTTTTTGGTGATTTTTTGCCGGGGTTTTTCAATCGCCTTTTAATCCCTAAGGTTTTTTTTAAATTTGGTACAAAATTATTATTGCTCAAGAAAAAACAAAGACCGGTTAAGGGCCCTTTTTGATAAAAAATAAAACCCTATTGACGTATACGTTTTGGGTTTTTGTTTTAAAAAGGGGCCCCAAAATATGGAAATTAAATTCTTTTTCATTTTAAAGGGAAATTTGTTTCCACATGTTCCGAAATCATCTCCCCTAACCCCTTTTTTTAAAATTTTTTTGGGAAAAAATTTTTTAATTTGAAAAAATTTAAAAAATAAAAAAAAATTTAAAACATTTTCCATGTTTCCCCTTTAATAAAAAAAAATACCCGTGAATTTATGAAAATTTAATTTTGAAAATAGTTTTATTCACTTTTTACCCAAAAAAGTAAGAACAGGGAAAATTTCCATGAAAATTTTAAAAAGGTTCTTTTCCCTCCGTCGCAACTTTTTTATTTTTGGGTTAAGCCCCGTCCGTAAATAAAATTTTTATAATAGCCAGGGTCCCCTTTTTTTCCTTCATTAACTTAAAAAACCCCAGAAAATGCTCTTCCCCCTTTTTTAAAACCCCCAATTTTTTTTTTTTCCCTAGGGAAAACCCTGTTTTTTTTGGGTTAAATTTAAAAAAATGTCCCTTTTGAATTTGTGTTGCGTATTGCTAAATTTCAATTTATACTTATTTTTTTTTATTTTCCATTTTTTGGGGAAGCTTGAATCTTATTAAAACCCCCATTAAAACATACTAAAATTTAAGCAATGAGGGAAAAATGTATTTGCTCAAAGGAAAAAAACGTTTCCCCCTTCATTTTTAGCCCCTTATCCCCCCTTTGAAATCTTCAAGATTTTCCTAACTTTTTTTTCTGTAGCAAATTTTTTCTTTATACCCCCCATTTTTTTAAAACCCCAAGCAAACCTTAAAACTAATGCCCAGTTTTTTTTTCTTCTTCAAACCCCTTCTTTTTTTTTCTTTGTTCATTTCGTCAAAACCCGGGAACAAAATTATTTTTTATTGCCCCTTTTTTTCAAAAAAAATTTCCCCTTGGAAAACCCGTTTTTGGGTGGGAATGGCCCCCAGTGAAAAAAATTTTTTTTTCCTTAAAATTGTATTTTGAAACATACCTTTTAAAACATCTGATGTCCCCTGTAAATTGGTTTTTTTATTTTTTTTCCCGTCATTTTTATCCCCCCCAATTTATCACAAACCCAAAATGCCTTTTTGGGGAATTTCCCAAAAAAAAAAAAAATTTTAAAAAAACCCCCCAATTTAAGTATTTAGAGATGTCATCAAAAATTTTCAATAGAAAAGCTTTTTTCATCATAAATAAAAAATTTTTTCTAAATTATAACAAAATTAAAATTTTAATAAAAAAAAAAAATATTTCCCAAAAAAAGGCACCTGGCCTTTTAGACACCTTTTAAAATTTTTAAATAAATTTTTTTAAAAATTTTTAATTGTTTTTAAAAACCCTTTTCCCAAAAAGATGTTTTTAAACAGAAAATGGGGCTTTTTTTTAAACCCAAATTTTAAAATAATAATTTAAAGGTTTAAAAAACTTTTTCCAAAAGATGGCCCCTAAAACCCAAGGGTTTTGGCAACCCATAATGTAAAATAAAAAGGTATTTTTTTAACCCTTTAAAAATTTTAATTTTAAAATAATATCCCATTTGGGAAAAGTTCCCAAAGGGTTTCCCATTCAATTAGTAAAAAAATTTCCCTTAGTCCAAAAATTCGTTTTTTCCCCAAAAAGTATAAAAAATGAAAAACATTTTTGTGAAAGTGAAGCCCCTTGTATTTTTTGGGAAAGGTTTAAAACTTAAAAAACCGACAGGAAAAATTTGAGAAAGAACGTGATTGCTAGATTTATACAAAAAAAGCCATTTTTAAATTTCAAAAAAAATTTTTAAATTGAAAAAATGAAAATAAAAATTTTTATATCCCCCATTTTTTCAAAGTGCAAAATATTGAAAATTTAATTAAACGGTATTTTTAAAAATGAAAAAAAGTTTAATCAGCATGTTTTAATTTTAAATTTTTCCCCTCAAAAAACCAATATTGCAAAGTAAACCTAGAAAATAAAATGGGGCCCCATGCCCCTGCAAAAACCCAAAAATTTTAACCCTTTTGGGAAAAGCCCAAAACATAATTTTTGTTTTTTTTTTTCAATCAAATTTTTTTTTTAATTTGATTTTAAACGGGAATGTTACTTTAAATTTAAAAACAATTTTTTTTGAAATAAAAATTTTGATGTTTTTTTTGGAAAATTTTGGAAAGAAAAAAGAGGTGATACTTTTTCGGGTTTTGGGTTTAAAATCATTTTAAAAAACTTCCCCCAATAAAAAAGTAGGCTCTAAAATCCCCCTTTTTAAAAATTAATTTCTTTTTTATTTAAACCTTTTAAAAATTTAAATTTCAAGAAATTTGCCCAAAAAAAAATTAACACATTTAATTTTTAAAAAACCCCGTCTTTGCAAATTTTAGTTTTGAAAAAATCATAAGAAAGTTTTTTAAAAACCCTATACAAGAAATTGGGGTTAAATGGGTTATACAGATTTTCTCATTGTTTTAAAAACAAAAAAACAAAAATACATTTTTTTTAAATTGGGAGTTTCCCCTTTTTTAACCCCGTACGGGGAAAGCACTTTTTAAAAAATATAATTTTCTTTCAAAATTTCCCAAATAAAAAATAAGACAAATTTCCCTTTGTTAAATTTTATTTTTGAAAGGTAATTTTAGCTTCCCTTGCCCCTTAAAAAAAAATGTAAAAAAAGGTTTTTGGTTTTTTTGGCTGTTTTTTGGAAATTTCCCCAAAACCCCAAAAAACCCATGGGAAATTTTTTTGGCCCCCCCAACATTTACTTGCAACTTTACTAACAACAAAGTTTAGAAAACCGGAAAGTCATAATTAAATTAACCCTTTGGGGGAAAACCCCAAAGGGCCAAAAGGGTTTTCCCAAACCCTTTAATGAGGAAGCTTTTGCCCTTTTTACCCTACAAGTGGGCAACGAATCTGCAAGGGGGCCAAGTGCAGCCCAAAAAATTATTTCGGTGAAAACAAAAAAATATTACCTTTTTAAAAATGGTTCATTTCAACTAAATTAAAAATTTTTGTTTAAATTTTTGTTCAACGTTTAAAATGGCCCTTTTCCTGTTAAAATTTACAGAAGGCCATCCCTTTTTTTTTTAAATTTTAAAAAAAACTTTTCCCTTTTAAAAATTTAAACCCTTTAAACCATAAAAACCTTTTCCCCAAAATAACCCAACCATTTTTTATTTTTGGGCCTTTTTAAAATTAAATTTAAATTTAAAATTAATAAAACCATTCAGTTATCTTTTTAGGCCAGCCCCACGTTTTTAAATTTTTCCCCTAAGTTTAAAAACCAAAAAGTACCCAAAAGGAAGCGAAAAATTTTACTTTTTTGAAAATTTTTTAAATCCCAGCCCCCCAATGTTTAAAAGGGGCGTTTTTAAATAAAAAAAACTATGTTAAAGCTTTTTAAAAATTTGGGAAAATTTTAAACGTTTTTGAAATTTTTTGAAATTTCCCTTTAAAAGGGGGTTGAAATAGGGAAATTTTTTTTAAAAGGAAAAACCCTGCTTTTTTTGTTTTAATTCATTGAAAAATTTTTTTATTATTAAATTGGGCCCCTTTTTTTTAAATATGAAAAAGATCGATAAAATTTTTTTAAATTTTGGGATTTTAAAAAAGGGGTTTGGGAACAGAATTAAATTATCTTTTGAAAAAGAACAACACCCAAAAAAAAAACCCCCCCAATTTTTTTAGGGTAGGGTTTTAAAATTGAAAATTTTAAACCATTTGAAAGAGCCATAAAAATACCAAGGAAATCCAAAAAATTTTTTATGTCAAGATATTTGATAAATATATTTGTTATGAAATAAAAAAATTTTTAGTAATTGAACTTATTTTTGGTGTCCCAAAAAAAAACCACCGATATAGAATTTTTATTTTTAAAATGTTTTGTTTTTCTTATCAAATTTTTAAAAAGTTTTTTTTAAACCCCCAACAGGTTTTACTTCATTGTTTTTAAAAATTTTTTGATGAAACTTCGAAGTTTAAAGCCCCCCCTTTTGAGAATAAAAATCAAACAAAGGGCAAAAAAAAAAAAGAAATTTTAAAATACTTTAAAAAAAAATTTGGGCAAAATTGAAAAATGTTGCAGGTTTTGGTTTTTAATTAAAACCCCTTTTACTTTTGGCATAAATGGAAAAAATGCCCCCATTTTAAAGCAACGCCCCCAAAACACCCGGGGGCCCGGCCCCTTTTCCCGGGAATTAAAACCATTTTAAAAAAAAAATTGTTAAATTTTCATGGGACAAAAACCGTTAAAATTTTAAAAAAAGCATCAAATATTTTTTGGGTAGGTTTCCCCTAAAATGTTTTTAGTGAAACAAATAAATCAAAAAAAAAATTCTTGAAAAATTTTTTCATAAACGGGAAAACCTAAAACCCCAAATTTCTAAAAATTAAAATCATTTGGGGGGGGAATTTCCCCAAACAACCCCCCCTTGGTTA